CTGGATTTTGAGCTGCATGAGGTAAGAGTGTGCAAATTTGAATTGTCATTTTTTGGACATAGGTGAAGAGGATGTTGGTATGTCCTCTGTGAATAAAATGGTGTCCAGAAGTGGATTGGAGCAAAGGTATTAGATGTTCCTACACACCTGTTGTCATTTTCCATTGTTTACAGATATAGGTTGGAAGTAATTCAGGATGAAATATCCAAGTCTTCTTGTAAACATTTATTTTGTTAATGCCAAAAGAACAAAGCTTTCAAAGCAGTCATTTTTTTTTTAACCCTTTTACCTGTGTCCTGGAATTAGGTGCCAAAGAGAAAGGCATCAGGTCCTTAATGATCAGTCAGAGGTCAGTAAATCCACTTAAAGGAATATCCACAAAATAAATGTTTACTCTTTTAAACCATTAATAATTTTAGGTTACATTTGTTACATTTTAGATATCCTAACTAATACATTTATCTAGTGCTGTATGCAAATTGATATAAATTTCTGGTGAGTAGCTTGGCAATGTGTTTCAGGATCTTTACAAAGGTGTGTTCATTTTCAAATTTTAATTTTTTGAATTTATTATTTTGTGGAAAGACAGGGTCTCACTATGTTGTTCAGACTGGTCTTGAACTCCTGGCCTGAAATGATTCTCCTGCCTTGACTTCCCAAAGCGTTGGGATTACAGGTATAAGCTACCATGTCTGAACTTAAAAATTTTTAAGTAGGCAAAATAATACTCTTCTCTAAGGATTTACATGCAGGTTGCTTACAAAAGTTGTGGTTTACTTTTAAGAATAAATTTGAAGTAACTATAATAATTCAAAACATAGAAATAATATCAAAATTATAATGTACCCTTATAAAATCATATCCTGTGGCCATACAAATTCTGCCTTGGAGTACTAAAGAATAACTTTTAAACCATCAAAATATAATAAATAAAAATCAGTAATAGCACTATATATTATATATTTCCTTTTTTAAAATAAAATTTTAAAATGTCCATGAAAATTTTAATTATTCATTTTTTGTTGGTGGGACCAAAAAAAAATTTCATTTTATATATTTATGTGATAAACATGTTTCCTAGAAATTAATGTTATGCAAAAGCTTTGGAAATGTTTACTATTTTAGTTGATTTTAATTTGAAATCAGTCAGAAGTACATATAGACTTTCAGAGGCCAGATCATAATCATAATTTATAACTAAAACTTTTAGGTAGCAACAATTTCATTAATAATATAAATATTAAAAATGTGAATTGAATGCAAAGCATTACATACACAAAATTATTGTCATCAAATATAATTATGCTGATACTACTCATATACAAAATACAATGATGAACAGCATTTTATTAATGCATATTCAAAAATATTACTTATAATATAAAAAACAAAATCTTAAAATCTGGAATACTGACAATACCAAATGGTAACCAAGATGTGGACCAACAAAAACTCTAACTTATTGGTGGTTGGAAAGCAAAAGCCAACTGCCATTTTGGAAGACAGTCTGGAAGCTTTTTGTGTGAAACTAAATATGCTATTATCTAATAATCCATCAACGGTGCTCCTTGGTATTTACCTAAAATAATTGAGAACTTATATCCTCACAAAAACCTTCACATAGATTATTGTAGCAGGTTTAATCATAATTGCTAAAACTTGTAGTCAACCAAGATTTCTTCCATAAATGAATAGAAAAATAAACAGTAGCGCGTCAAGAAAGTAGAATACAATTTAACATTACAAAGAAATTCAATTTCAAGCAATGAAAAAATATGGAAAACTTAATACATATTATGAAGCCTCCCAAAAATCTGAAAAGGCTGTATGCTGTTTGAATTCAACTATATGATATTGTGAGAAAGGCAAAACTAAGAAGACAGTAAAAATAGCAGTGTTTGCCAGGGGTTGATGTAGGGAAGTATGAATTGATGGAGCACAGGATTTTTAGAGCAAGGCAATGTAACTACTCTGAATGACACTATAATGGTTGATACAAGTAATTAGATATTTGTCCAATCCATGGAATGTACAGCATCGAGTAAAGCCTAATGTAAACTATGGACTTTGGGCAATAATGATGTGTCAATGTAAGTTCATTGATTGTAACAAATATATCACTCAAGTGGGGAATATTAATAATAAAACAGAATATGCAAATTTGGCATAAGCCTATATGGAAAATATCTGTACCTTCTACTCAACTTTACTGTGAAACTAAAACTACTCTAAAAATAGTTTGTTAAAAAAAATTGAACAACTATGGAGGAAAAAAAATTTAAGTTTTCTAAAATGCATAATTTGAAAGAGCTTCTAAAATTATTCAAAAAGTATCAAAGAATATATAAGAACCAGAGAGAAAATGTACAATGCATGTGGTTTTGCTAAGATAAGACATTCTAGCCCTGTGTGAAATATTTGTATAATGCAATCTGATTCTCCTAAGTCAAGTAATTATCTCTGCACTGTTTTATTTCCTAAAGTATGCATTTTCCTATTTGATTAGATTTTAAAGAAAATAATCAACAGTGAATTGACTTGACTGCAGCTAGAACAGTGTATGTCATACAGTAGCTATTCACTAAATAATTACATAAATAAATATATTAATTAATGTCACTCTCAAATATTTAGCAAAATTTTCAATATTGCTATAAACTAAAATCTTTCTACCACATATGCAAGGCCATATAATATGCAATCACGATATAAAAATGTGCCTGCATAATTTTTTGAAAGTTTAATAAATTTATCTTCACTGATAGTTAAAAATTTTATGGTACAGAATTATGTAAACAGAAAGAGATGGTAGACAATTTGAAAACAGGCTAAAGGGCCAGAGGACAGAAGGAACAATTAGCCTATAGGAAAAGAGCAGCAGCTTGGTGATTAATGATCATGCACTTGTGAAAGTTCACAGCCTCCCAGCAGTGAAGAATAAAAGACTTTGAAAGACAGGGATTGTGTACTGTTTCACTCTGTGCTTCTAGCTTCTATGTCAGTGACCAATACAGAGTAAATATGGAATAAAATTTTCTTAAAATAAATAAATGGCATTGAACGATTACCTAGTTTAAGAAAGAAAATGAACCATACAACATGAATCATCCAAGCATAGTCAATCACCCATAATCATTTTAGCTAACTAGTACTTAAACTCAATTTCTACATAGCTTCTTTCAAAATTGAATGTAAACATTTCATATTTTTCCTATCTCTTTAACTTGAAATATATGGATTTAGAGAAGCTCTGCTGACAAGATAATAACAGAATAATGTTCAATTTAAATTACAGTAACCAGAAGGTAGTTACATTTATTTTAGCATGAATTTTAATGAGTAGAAGAAAGTAATGGATCAGTAATTTTGTCTATACTTTTAATAAAAGCAAAATATAATGTATTTTTTAACATTACTAATTATGAATTCATGAGATAGACTGGCATTCATATCAAACAGAAAAATGTATTTATATAGGATTTTAAGTGCACACTAATATATGAAAAAATAATTTAATAATTGTGAATTCAGCCTTGGTCACAGTTAAATTATGAAGCATACTTGCTCTTGAACAAACCTACCAGATATTTCTTCAACTAAGTGGAACAGATTTTGGAGCTAGATGAACCTCATATGACTGAATTGTCTACAGTATTTATGACTGTACTACTAGGTGCATATTATCTTTCATTTTTATTGGTAGAAACTTTATTTTTACTAGAAATTAAAGACATGTAATTCAACTGTAAATATAATCTTGTCCTTACCCATACAAAGTATATTAATCAAGGAAAAGGTTTTATGTAGCTAATGGATATACAATATGTTCTTAAGCATGGGTTTGTTAATATTGAAAACATTTGTCATGTGTAATTTATTGTATCTCCTGCCATCAAAAGTTGATTAAATGGTAAACCAACTAAAACCAAATGAATGAACAAAGTATATCTAAAACTTTTTCAGGTATTTATGCTTTAATCAGGATTCTTGTTATTTTATTTTATGTTTGTATCAACTACATATTCTTTCCTTTCTGTGTCAGCTCTATCCTCCAGCGGCTTCCCTCAAGTAATCAAAGTAATCAAGTGGTTTTAGAAGATTCAGGTTTTAAGTTAAAAACTACATCATGAAGCAAGAAATTTCTGTTTTAATGTTCTAAGTCAATTTTCTGAAATTCAAATGCATTGAACCAAATCTGAATCATTTTCTGTGATCAAACCAATGTCACCACACACCATTTGTTCTCTATCTGGGTTATAATAATCAATCAATGGTGTTAGAAGGCATAGGACACCCCTGAGTGTTTTCAGTCATGAAGCTGAGGGACTAGGCATGCTAATTTTATTATGTGCTTGCTACACAATCAGTGAACAGTAGAAAGAATGTTACAGAGAAACTCCAACATCCACTATAGCATTCCTAAGTAACAGAGACAAGATAATAATGGAGAGTTCAGTCTGGGGTGTGCGTGCATTTGTGTGTATGTATTTGTCAATGTATATGCAATCATTTAATCAGAAATGTTATAAAGCAAGCCTCATAAGGATCATTGCAGAGTAACTTTTCCTATGGTTGACGAAGTAATAACATTCTGTGTGTTTAGATCTATATTCTTGTCATGACTGTAGCCCCAACTAATAAAACCTGATGATAATAAAGATGTTTTAGTTGCTTATAGAGCTACTTTTTTTGCAGAAAGGATTTTTAAAGGTACCAGTAAGCATCACTTTTTCCATGGCTTTTCTAATGCTAACCTTGAGTCTAATTGTAAAGTAAGCATTTCAAAACATTTTGTGTTTAAGAGTGGTATTTTGATACCATTATAATGAAATTACTGTCTCTGACTTGATCCGTAAAAATTCATGTGATAGTCATGAGAGAAAAAGAATAACATAAATATTACTTAATAAATTATAGTGGTTCATAACATATTTTTATTTATCTTATATGCAATTTGCCCTTTTATATATCTTCAATATTTCCTTTCATTGAGAAGCTATGCAACACAGGATTTATGCTCTATAATCCTAGTCTTATTATTTTTTCATACAAAAATCACAAAAGAGTTTATTCCAAAGAAAAGACTCTTTTTAGTAAATCCTACACAAGGAAAAGCACAATTCTTAGGACTGAAGTTTATATAAATAATGATGAGCAGGCTGAGCATGGTGGATCACGCCTGTAATCCCAGCACTTTAGGAGGCCCAGGCAGATAAATCACTTGAGCTGAGAAATTCAAGACCAGCCCGGGCAACATAAGGAAACATCATATCTATAAAAGCAAAGAAACAAACAAACACAATTAACTGTGCTTGGTGGTTCATGTCTGTGGTCCCAGCTACTCAGGAGTCTGAGATGGGAGGGTCCCTTGAGTCCTGGAGGTCATATCTGCAGTGAGCCCTTGATTGAGCCACAGAACTCCAGCCTCGTTAACAGAGTAAAGCTTTGTCTCAAAAAAAAAGAAAAAAAGCTAAGTAATTGTATGTTTAACTACATAGCAAGTTATTTGAGTAAGCTGGTTTTGTAATTCAAACTATTTAACTTTATAACTAAAAATATTAAATGATTGTGAGATTCTATCTGTTACTCTCTCGTGTTTCAGTTTTATTGAGAATTATAGCAAATAAACTGACTAGTAGATTATTAATAAAATTATTAGTTTATATGAATGAGTATCTTGTTTAAAATGGTAACGAAATTTATATATTTACATAATAATAAATAATTTATTGAATCATACATTTGGTTCTACATACAATTTATAAATTTATGTTTCTCCCTTAAAAATAACCTTTAGATTACTCATAATACCTACAACAATGTAAATACAATGTAAATAGTTATCTTTATTCTTTCATTTACATTCTATTTTATTTAATTTTTCCAAATTTTGATGTGCTCTTGGTTGAACTTGTGAATGCAGAAACCATGAATATAAAATCCTAAAGACCCCATCAAGCCTTACCTAGATTTGATAAGGTAAATTTTAGGATACAAAATAAACATACAAAAACCAGTAGTGTTTCTATACACCAATAACAATCCAGATGAAAACTAAATCAAGAAGGCAATCCCATTTACAATACCTACAAATAAAAGACTTAGGAATATATTTAACTAAGGAGGTGAAACATCCCTATAAGATAAACTACATAACTGATGAAGTAAAATGTAGATAACACAAACAAATGGAAAACCACCCATACTCATAGAAAAATTAATAATATTAAAATGACATACTGCCCAATGCAATCTACAGATTCAGTGAAATTTCCACGAAAATGTCATTTTCCACATAATTAGAAAAAATATAGGAAATTAATATGGAACCATAAAAGACCCTAATAGAGCAATTAATAAACAAAGCTGAAGGCATTCCACTACCAAAAAACAAAGCTGAAGGCATCCCACTACCAGACTTATCAAATTAGTAGTATTCAAAACAGCATGATACTTGTATTTGACACAAAGATCAATGGAAAAGAATAGAGAATTTAAAAATAAAACTACATGTCTATAGCCTTCAGATCTTGACGAAATTGACAAGAACATTCACCAGGAAAAAGATAACCTTTTCAATAAACGGTGCTGGCAAAATTGGCTTGTAATATGAAGATGAATAAAACTGGACCCCTATCTCTCATTGTCTACAAAAAATCAACTCAGGATGGTTTAAGTTCAATATAAGACCTCAAACTATAAAAATACCAAAGGAAAAACCAAAGGAAAATTCTTTTGAATTTTCACTTTATTGGTTTAGGCAAAGACCTTATGATTAAGACCACAATAGTACAGGCAGCAAAAACAAAATAAACAAATGAGATTTAATTAAACTAAAAAGCTTCTGCACAGTGAAAGAAATAATCAACAGAGTGTACAGACTGCTTGCATGATGGAAAAAATATGCACAAATTATGCATCTGATAGGGGACGAATATCCAGAATTTCCACAAACTCAACAACAACAAAAGCAAAAACAATACTATTAAAAAAGGGGCAGAGCTCCTAAGTAGACATTTTTCAAAAGAATATACACAAATGATCAGCAGGTTTATCATCAAAGCATTCTCAACATCACTCATCTTCAGAGAAATGCAAATTAAAACCACATTGAGATATAATCTTACACTAGTCAGAATAGCTAATATTTGAAAAACAAAAAATAACATGTTGGCAAGGATTTGAAGAAAAGGGATTGCTTATATACTGTTGGTGTGAATGTAAATTAGTACAACCTCTATAAAAAAAATTGAAGATATCTCAAAGAAGTAAAAATAGAAGTACCATTTCATTCAGTAATCCCATGACTGGATGTTTACACAAAGGAAAAGAAAACATATCAAATAAATACCTGTACCAGTGTGCGTATTGCTGTACTATTTACAATAGCAAAGACATGGAATCAACTTTAGTGTTCATCAATGAATGGTAGGTTAAAGAAAAGGTGGTATATATACACAAAGGAATACTATTCAGCCATAAAAAGAATGAAATCACATATTTTGCAGCAACATGAATAGAAAGGTAGGCCATTATCTTAGATGAAACAAGTCAGACAAAGAAAGTTGAATACCACATATTCTTACTTATAAGTGGGAGCTAAATAATGCTTACACATGGCCATAGACTGTGGAATGCTAGATAATGGAGACTCAGATGAATGAGGGTGTGGGAATGGAACTTAATGGTTTCAATGTATAGTATTCAGGTAATATGGATACCCTAAAAGCCTTGACCTTACCACTTCACAATCTATGTATGTGACAAAATTATACTTGAATCCCATAAATTTATATGAAAAAGGTACATGAACTAAACACTCCAACTAAAAAACAGAGAGTAGTAAAATGGATTTTAAAATACAACATAATTCAGCTATCTGCTATCTATAAGAGGCATACATTAGATTCATAATCACAAATAGCAGCCTTTAAAATTTTCTCTTTTGCATTCACTTTGGACAGTCTGGGGTCTACGTGCCTTGGTTATATGTTTCACATAGTATCTCTGAAGTGTTCACATGATTTCTCATATCTATATGTCTATCTCTCTATCAAGATTAGAAAAATTTTCTTGAATTGTTCCATCGAATATGTTTTACAGGTTGTTTGCTTTTTCTCCTTGTCTCTCAGGAATGCCAGTAATTCATAGTTTTGGTGACTTTGCATAATCACCAAATTTTTGGAGATTGTTTATTTTTAAAAATTCTTCTTAATTTATTTTGTCTGGCTGAACTGGTTCAAAATACTGATCTTCACATAGAGTGGAAAATACACACTGGGGCCTTTTGTAGGGTGGAGAGTAAAAGGAGGGAGAGGATCAAGCAAAACAACTAATGAGTACTAGGTTTAATACTTGCGTGATAATATTCTGTACAACAAACCCTCATGACACAAGTTTGCCTGTGTAACAAATGTGTACTTGTGACCCTGAACTTAATAGTTAAAAAAAAAAGTCTGGTCTTCAATCTTTGACGTTCTTTGTTCTGCTTGGTCATGTCTATTGATAAAGCTTTTAATTGTACTTTGAGATTCCTTACATGAGTTTTTCAATTTTAGAAGCTCTGGTTAATTTTGTTTTAAGATGTTTATCTCTTATTTTCTGGGTTATTTTAAAAGCTTCCTCCTGTTGATTTTCGACATTGTCTTGGATCTTGTTGAGCTTCATTGTTATCCATACTTTGAATTATTTGTCATTTCTGAGTTTCCATTTTGGTTAGAGGTCATTGCTGGAGATCTAGTGTGTTCCTATGGTAGTGTGAGGACATTCAGATTTTTCATGGTGCCAGTATTTTTGCGCTGGTTCCTTCTCATGTAGAGACACTGATATTTCCATTTTTTGTAATTATTTTCATGAAGGTAGGTTGTTTTTTCTTTCTTTCTCTATAATACTATTGCTTTATTTCTTTCCTTTTTCTGCTTTCTTCAGAAAATGTGACTGTAGGGAATACTGGGTAGAGTGTTTTGGCACTTCTGGCAGATTTTATACTGGGCTGTGCACTGTGACCTATAAGCCAGGAGATGATGCTGGGTAAGAGCTAGGAGCGGGCAACATGGCCAGGTATAAATTTGATTCTGGTTTATAGGCATACACTCTCTGCTGGCTCAGGTAATGGGATACACAGCCAGAAAAAAAGAGTAAAATCAATCATGCCTTTTGCAGCAACATGGATGCAGCTGGAGCCCATTATCCTAAGATAATTAATGCAGGAAAAGAAAACCAAATATGACATGTTCCCATTTATAGGTGGAACTAAACAGTGTATACTCATGGACATAAAGGGGCAATGATGAAACTTGGGACTACTAATAAGCAGAGGTAGGGAAGGGGGCAACCGTCGAAAAACTATTGGGTGGTATGCACAGTACATGGGTGATGGAATAATTTGTACCATAGACTTCATCCTCATGCAATTTACCCAGCTAAGAAACCTGTACAGGTACCCTCTTAATCTAAAATAAAAGTTTAAAAAAAAAACAAATAGTTTAAAAACAAAAGAATGAAAAAAGACATACCATGTAAACATGACCAACATATAGCTACAGTGGCTATAGTAATAGTTTTTAACATTCTATTTTAAGATAGAAATTATTAATATAGATTGGAAAATTGTAATGATGAAAGGGTAAATCTATCAAAAGGTATAACAATTATAAACCTATGTGCATCTAACAACAGAGATCCAAAATACGGAATGCAAAATTGACAGAATTAAAGGGATTAGGATGTATTTCAACAATAATAATTGAATACTTGAATGCTCACCTTGAAATAGTAGCTAAAATAAGACAGACTATCAATACTAAAATAGAAGATTTAAACATGATGAACTACTTAGACTTAAGAGATATCTATAGAACACATCAAACAAACACAGCAGAATACACATCCTTCTCTAGCAAATATTAAACATTCTAAAGGACAGAACAAAAAAAAGCCTCCATGTTAAGAAATGTTAAACATCTCTAATCATCAAATAAATGTAAATACAAATCACTATGAGGTATTTTGTAAAGCTCTTTTGAATGGCTATTATAAAAATGACAAAACTGTGTATATACCCAAAGGAGTATAAAACATTCAACTATAAAGACACATGCACATGTATGTTTACTGTGGCACTATTCACAATAGCAAAGACTTGGAACCAACCCAAATGCCCATCAATGATAGAATAAATAAAGAAAATGTGGCACATATACATCATGGAATACTATGCATCCATAAAAAAAGATGAGCCCATATCCTTTGCAGGGACATGGATAAAGCTGG